TTTGTAGCAGATGGTAAGGGTGGGGGCTGATATGTTGATATGTGGCAAGCGCATGCCAATGCTCCCTGCACACTAGGACAGGAGAAAGCCATGGGAGGAAGCCAGTAGACCACAGTTTTGTTTAGGAAATTTCCCCTTGGAGATAGATAGATAGATAGATAGATAGATAGATAGATAGATAGATAGATATAGACAGATAGATATACTGTGCTTTCCAACCTACACCTTTGTTCTAGAGTGGAGACTCCACAGCCTTGAGTCTTTAAAAATATCAACATGTGTTTTATCCTCCTATTATTTTGAATTTATTTTCCTAGGATAAGTCTTTCTGTTTGTTTGTTCCTGCTGACTTCAGCTGGCTTTTTGACCTTCTGGCCCAGAGCCTCTGTCCCCTGTGCTTGGGTTGTATCAGAGGTGGGTTTTCTGCAGAAGGTGTCTCCTCCTGTTCAGTCTGGCCATGAGCATTGTATGGGCTTGTGGGTGTTTTTTTCAGAGAGGGTCAGGAGGAGCAACCCAGTCTCTTTCCCATTGGGGCCAAGGAAATACTTCTCCAGGTTGAGGCCTTGCTCCTAGCTCTATCTCAGAGGCCCTCCCCTTCAGTGAATGGGTTGGAGGGGCCTGGTGTGGCTCCTGGCCATGATGGATGGATGGCTTGCGATGGCTGCTGCTGTGGGGCTGGGGAGCTGCCTCCCTTGCCTCCTGCCCCACCTACTCAGCCGCCACTGTCCCCAGAGAGGTGGCCATCAGTCCTCCCCAGTCGTCTGCGGTGGCACAGCTTCCTTGTTAAGGAGGAATTTGTTTTGCTGTCCTGCAAAGCTGAAGCCAGGCTCTGGCCTCCCTCTGGGTTTGCGCCCCTCCTCATTAAGCTGGTTGGGGCTATTGATTGGGCATTTGTGTTTGGAAGAGTCTTACTTACTCCATGCATTATCTTGACAGATTGATCAGACCTGATTGAGAACCTCTTAAAGGAACGAACAGCTGTAATGGGAAAGTTGGACTCTGTCATCCGTTAGGGTGATTCTGGGAGCGAGAGGAACAAGGCTGACATCTTGGAGCAATTGTATTTACAATTAACATGGCTGAAAACGATTGCCTCTATTGATCCCCCCTTCCTGCAATTACAGCCCCATTGTTTACATTCCAGCACTTCAGTTATAAAAAGGAAATTCAATAATTATTGCATTATTTAAAGTTAAAGTGCCACAGAGTTTGCTGGCTGTGCTTGCTGGTTGATTTAGCGTTCAGTAAAATCTATGCTGAGCTTTCCATCTTTAGGCTGAGCTATATTGGCTTTTAATGAGGCTTCAAGGGTGGAGCAGAAGCCCACCTGCCGGCTGGATGGTGTCTTTTTTTATAAAAAAATTATTTATGGTGAAATCTAAAAGAGATTAAAAACAGCCACGCAGGACAGGAGGGCTTCATGGCCAGCCATTTGTTTAACGCAGGGCCGCTTTGGGCTGGCTAGTATTCCTACCCTACAAGGGGGTGGGGGTGAGCAGAGAAAGGGAGGGAGGAAGAGAGAGTGGCTTTCTAAGTTCAGAGGAAGGATTTGCAGGTGCCCACAGCAGCAACAGGCAGGTTTCTTGCTGCCCTTTTGTCCACCCTTTCTTCCCCTGTAGCTGTCCTTGGAAACCAAGTTGCCTGAGGCTGCTCTGTAGGCAGGTGAGTAGTTCCTCCAGGGATGAAAAGCAAAAGAAATGGACCTCAAGTCTCCTGGAACAATTTGCACGCAAGCATCATATGCTTACTTTAGCTAGAATCCATGCAGCTGGGAGGGAAATGGTTTATTTGTGTGCATGTCTTAATTATGGCCTTCAGTCAGCAAACAGTTTCTGCGAGGGGCTCTAGGGAATGCTGTGTGGGAATATGCCTTCAAACCTCCTGAGAGCTTAGGGCAACTCCAGAGGTTTTCTTAGTCAAGGGCTCCTCAAAGGTATTTTTTTTACCAGGAGTTCCTTCCTCTGACATGCAGCCTATGGTATTGGCTGATGCACTCCCATACAAGACCTTATCAAAGTTGATCCTGCTTAGTTTCCAAGATCAAAGAGCATCTGGTTCCTGTAGGGTCTTTGTGCTCTGTTAAAGAGCTTTATTCCTTAGGAAGTCTCTGAGGTGCCCTGTTTGAGTTGCCTTTGGAGAACCTTTCTGTTGGCTCTGGGATTATGCCTTCGTGGAGCATTTGCCACAAGCAGAGCCCCCTGTAAAAGTTGGTCTTAACTGGAAAGTGCTGACAACCCAAAGTGGGGGCGGGGGGGGGGGTGGGGTACTGCTAGCCAAAGTTTCAAGGGACACTCTTGAGGTGCTTCTCACCCCCAGTTGCCCATTCTAGGTGCAGATGTGCCATGAAGGAAGCCACATCTGCTGTTCTGAGTCTACAAGACTGGAGCACAACTCTTGAGGACATGGAATTCTCCTGTTTGTGGGCTCAAACTTGATAGCCATTCACAGCAATGACAACAAAAGACACTTTGCCACTCCCCAGCAGTCCTACTCCTGCCCTGCTCCTCCTGCTTACTTCTGTGCTTCAGGATTGTCCAAAGTCTAGTCTGAGCAAGAGGAGGCTCTGCAGTTATTTTAGCATTTCGGGTGGGAGAACACCTTTCCACTTCACTGGCAATAAAAATGCAAGTCTAATAAATTAAATGGCCTCCCATGACACCAGGACTTGTTGTAAGAAGAGTCTTGTGAAGTTGGCTCTGCTGTGCCTTCCACTCTTCTTCCTCTCCTGCCCTGCCTTCTGCCTCTGAGTCACCATCCTGAGCCATGTTCCCTCACCCTTTTTGCCCCTTTGGCAGTAGCGCTAGCTCGGTCTGTCCTTTCCTCATGGCTTTCTTCCTGAATAACCTCAGAGGTTCTTCTTTCTGGATATCGGTCCTTAACTCATCACTTGTCCTGCTTAAACTGATTATTTGGTGTAAGATGCTCTACATTTGGTCGCCTCTGTCACATGGCCCCCATGGTCCTGGCTGGGCGAGCGCCAATTCCCTGGAAGAATCCCTAAGCGAGGGATGTTCCTATCATAGTATGCCTCTCCCTGTCTTTCTGCTTTAAAAGTGACGCTTTGCCTCTCCGTGATCAATATTTTACATTCCATGCATGAAGAACCAGATGTAGGAAGCTTCCTGCTATTGGTGGCTCAGGCAGGGCCAGGATGAAATGTCGTGCCAGCCAAGATTTAGGGAATAAATCATTGTGCCCTATCAGAAGTTCACGAACTTTTCTTAGGAACCAGGAAAAGTCTTCTGTCCTTGGGATTTTTTGCCTGGTGGTTTTGTTTGGCATACCTTTGCCCAGGTGAGTTGGGAGTAGCATCTTTGTAGACTGGGCAAACCTCCTAATGTGCCAGCTGGGAAGTACATGTTTCTTCTATGAGCAGCTTTGGATACAGGGGCTTGCATTGCTCCCATTTAGTGAACAGAGAGCTATGCCTTACCAAGCTGGATGTTGTTGAATAATTTGAAGTTGTGATGGAGAAGCTTGCTGCTGAGACAGATGGCCACAGACAGGCCTCTCTGTAAGGCCACGCCACGCCTTTGTGGTCTGTGCCAGTTGATGGGGGTAAGTGCAGCATTTCCAAGTCTCAGAACAAGAACTGCTAGGTAGCAGCCTTTCCTTTCCCTTCCTTGCTGCTGAATCAGTTTAGCCTTTGGGTGTGCTTGTGGGGTCCCTTCATGCCCAACTCTCTGAGGAAGAGCCTGGAGTTGGCATTCAGCCCCTGTCGCCAGGGGGGCGGGCACTACTTGTCTCAAAGGAGAGTGGGGTTGAGCTCAACCAAGTTTCCCAGAGGTGTTTCAGGGTTCCCAAACCAAGGTGTGTGTAAGGGACTTTCTTCTTCTCCAGATGGAAAAACTAAACTTAGCCCCATATAAACACCTGCCACAATCACTTAGCCTTTAATGCAGCATTTCTCAACCTGGAGGGGGGGGTCGCGAGGGGGCATCAGAGGGGTTGCCAAAGACCACCAGAATACACAGTATTTTGTGTTGGTCATGGGGGTTCTGTTTGGCCGAATTCTATGGTTGGTGGGGTTCAGAATGCTTTTTGATTGTAGATGAACTATAAATCCCAGCAACTACAACTCCCAAATGTCAAGGTCTGTTTTCCCAAAACACCACCAGTGTTCACATTTGGGTATATTGAGTATTCATGCCAAGTTTGGTCCAAATCCATCATTGTTTGAGTCCATGCTGCTCTCAGGATGTAGGTGAGCTATAGCTTCCAAACTCAATGTCAATGCCAACCAAGCCCTTCCAGTATTTTCTGTTGGTCATTGGAGTTCTGTGTGCCAAGTTTGGTTCAATTCCATTGTTGATGGAGTTCAGAATGCTCTTCGATTGTAGGTGAACTATAAATCCCAGCAACTGCAACTCACACATGACAAAATCACCCCTCTCCCTCCCCAATCCCACCAGTATTCAAATTTGGGCATATCAGGTATTTGTGCCAAATTTGGTCCAGTGAATGTAAATAAATCCTACGTAACAGATATTTACATTACAATTAATATCAGTAGCAAAATTACAATTATGAAAGCAGCAACAAAAATAATGTTATGGTTGGGGGTCACCACAACATGAGAAACTGTATTAAGGGGTCATGGCATTAGGAAGGTTGAGAACCACTGCTTTAATGTATCCAAATACCCTGTGTGTGTTGCAGCTGGCAACATGGTTTACATTTAGGATTGCCTTACTAGTCATTTCATTCAGAGAGGGAGAGAGAGAACGTTTCGTTTAGAAACCCAACAACCAGAATAAAAACTCTGGAGACTCAGTACAATTCAGGTTTCTGTGGTGTCTTGGGCGATTACTTGTTGAAGTGCTGCAGCAGGGCTTCCCTCTTCCTCTCTAAGTTCCTGGCAGGGGCTGGGGGGGGGGGGGGGGGGGGACACTCCCTGGGTACCCATGGTTCTTGAAGGAGTTCCTGCCTTTTTCCCGGGGCTCCCTCACTTGTTCTGCCCAGGAATGCCCAAGCGCTGACCACCTGTTCTGCTCCCTCAGCACCTTCAGCACCATGAGAGTGGCATCGAGGGGGAAGGCTGCTACTACCACTGCGTCCTCTGCAGCTACTCCACCAAGGCCAAGCTGAACCTCATTCAGCACGTGCGCTCCATGAAGCATCAGCGCAGCGAGAGCCTCCGGAAGCTGCAGCGCCTGCAGAAGGGCCTTCCAGAGGAGGAGGAGGAGCTGGGCCAGATCTTCACCATCCAGAAGTGCCCTGTGCCTGATGCGGGTGAGTGGCCCGGGGCCCTCTTTTCCACTTTCACAAGGGCACCTATGGGTATGTGTTTTTTTCCTCAGCCCATTTCATTCCTCCCCATTCGCTATTTGTTCCAGTTGGATCTGGCCTTTCCCCTCAGAATGGGGTACACATCTCTTCTCCTCTCCTCCCCACAACAGACAGCTGAGAGACAGAGAGTGGCTCCAGGTCAGCTGGTGAGTGGCTTGGAAGAGTGGGGACTGGAGCTGAATTCACCAAGGCCTGCTCCTTGTGGCCATCACTGGATCACACTGGCTAGGAGACGTAGCCCTGCCCCAGCAGTTCAAAGCCTGCCCTTGTTTCTCTTTAATTCCCCCATTCATGTTTTCTTACACTCACCTTTACTTGGCACTTTTAAGTTTTTCTCAGTGTACTGTTTAAACACAGAAATCCACATTTTGCCGTGAAGAGAGGGAGGTGGGTCTCTGACGGCTGTCTCTAGTATTTCATTCTTGGGCAAGTAGTGGAGACTCTCAGGTGGAACTTGTTTGGGCAGAGGCCCAGGGCAGATTGGGCATCTTGCTGGGAGAAGAGTCGCATTGCCCAGACCCCCATTGAAACTCTGCATGCTTCCTTTCTGCCAGCATACTAAGGCCTCTCCATTTAGACTGGCACTTCACTGGTTGTGACAGGCATGTGTTTTGATAGGGCTTTTTATGTTTCAGACCAGTGTTTTTGATAGGATTGCTCATTTATTTTATATATTTTTAGTAGCACATTGTTTAAATTTTTGTTAGAAGATGCCTTAGGCTCTGCAAAGGGAGAAAGGTGAGATAATAAGTAAATATAGGAAGGGTGGACAGACAGACAGACATAGGGGCTCTGCTCTCTGCAAGTCCCTTTGTTCCTGCCTGGCAGAATGGGGGTGAGCTTTCAGCTCTATGGATCTCAGTCACTGAGAGCCCACCTACAGTGTTTTTGGGGAAGAAGGGGATGCAGAGGATAATGCGGAGTTTGGGGCGTCTTCAGGTGGGCAGAGGAATTGCCCTCTCCTCCAGGACTTTCTGTATATATTTCAGATTTCAGTATTAATGTCAAAAATACGTAGTATGGTTGTACATAGGATTTATGCTACATTAGAACAGTTAAGAGTAATATCACTTAAGTAAAAGAAACATTAAATATTAAATAACAAAAAAAATTAAGATGTACACAGCTGTCCAGAACAGAAGGCACCCTACAACCTCACAGGGTATTGGCATGTTCTTTGTGCACCCCATGGCCTTCCTCTTCAGTCAAATGTGGCCCAGCATACCTCTGCCCCAGGGTTAGTTTCTTTTTGTGCCTGAATCCTCCCCCAAGAGGGAAGCACTGGGGAGTAACACTGTGCTCTAGGAAAAAGGGCCAAGCTCTTTGGGATGGTTCTTTTGTTTCTGGCAAGGAAGGCTCATCCTCCCCTCCCACATACACTCTGTCCATAAGGGGGCAGTGAGCGGGGCAACTATGACTGGTTCTGTGAGTTTTCCAGGCGGTATGGCCATGTTCCACAAGCATTCTCTCCTGACGTTTCACCCACATCTATGGCAGGCATCCTCAGAGGTTCTCTTTGAAGGGGTTCTCTTTGGAGGTTCTCTTTGAAGGGGTTCCCAGTGGGCCATGGGAGATTGCAACAGGACATGAAGTACAGGGTTGCTTTCTTTTTCTGTTGGTTGAATGCCACAGCCTCCCTTTCTGTGTGCCTCTGGAAGGCAAGAGCCATAAACACCCCGTCACCCTCTTCCCAAAGCCATGCCTTAATGAGACCCCCCCCCCCAGCCCCTTGAAAGCGCCTGGCGGGAAGGATGTGGTTAGTGGGACGGTGGCAGGAAGGGTGCAGGCAGTGCTCTGAAACGTGGCAGAGGGAATCTCATAAACCCTCGGCTTGCTCCCTCCACCAGACACTTGTCATCAGCCGCGGCTCATGGCTTTCATTAAGCAACAAGAGAGGAAGCTCTGGTTGCTGACTAGTTCCAGAATGTTTTCCTTGTTCTGCGGAGGCCTCCTAAGCCCAGGAGGAGCCGACAGCTGCCTGGCTGCCTGAGATGCTGCCAGGACTCTTGGCAGGGATTCGGGGTCCCTCTGCTGGCGGCTTCTTACATGAAGCCCCTTTTGTTTTGTTGTTGCTGCTGCTGCCAGTCTGGGCTCTGGCTCTTCTTGGCGCTTCCCCGGCGTAGCACAGGCCTGGCCTCTTGCCCCTGGTCAGTCTGCCTCCATTCCCAAGGCCCTGCCCTTGGGCTCTGACCAGCAACATCTACTTTGGCCACAAAAACTGGAAACCACAGAGGGCTTTGCATCGCTACACAAAAGTTTAATAAACAACGGTGTGGTGCCTTAGCCTCTCCTGGGGATCGGAGTCCAGATTCACTCTCCCCAGACCTTCCATTCATAAGTTCTTTGGAGGACAAGTGGTTCCCAAATGCCCACATCATCATCTGGGTTGCTTTGGCTGCTAATGCCAGCAGAMACACATGAGCAGGTCRGAGGAAAATGGCAGCTGGGCCACAGGACACCAGAAGGAGGTTTTCTCTGAGRAGTGGCCCTTTTGGTGTGGGCCAGGGCCCTTTCTCCACACCTTGGTGGGACTCCCAGTGCACGGAAGGAGGGTRCCTGCCCCAGGCTAAGCGGGGCTTGGATTCCTCTCTAGCCCATTGGTTGCTTTGCTGCCGCCTTTGTGGCAGGACAATAGCATTAATTCCYGCATCGGGCCTCTGTTCTACTTGAGTGGTGCTGCGGCGGCCTCCCCTATTCTTTCCAGAATAAGAAGGGAGGGAAGTGCAAATGGTCAACCGGCCCCAAGATCTGTAGGACTGGAACTAAGGAAGGGCCTCTTCAACTTCTCCCCCCCCCCCCCCCCCCCCATGGCCTCAAATATGTGAAAACTGGAGGCAAGGCTTCCAACATTTCAATGTATTGGAAGCTGCAATGGAATGAAGGCAGCGACCAGGGAAATGCCTCACTGCTATATATTTTTATCTTGTTTCCCCCTGACACACACACTCATCTCATGAACTCTCTTTCTAAAAATACATTGTTAAATAAAATTTAATAGTAAGAGGGTGAATTGATGAGGGTGCAGTCCAACAGAACAGCTTCCAAGTTATAATTAAGGTTTTTCCATGGAAGGAGGCCCTACACTTTTCAGGCACTGTGCTTCCCAGCATCTGCCAGCTCCCTGTAACAGTAAAAAGACTGGTATTTTTCCCCCTTGGAATGTACCCAGTGCCATGGACTTGCATATCTTGAAAGTATCGAGTAAGATTAATTTCTCAGTAAAACTTTGGATTTCTTTAAAGATGATGTCTAAATGAGCTGTTTGCTCCAGTCTCATACATTCTTAATCAGAGGTACTTCATCCATTTCAGCAGATCTTCAATCCAATGTGTGTCAAGCTTAATTTATTGAATTATAACTAATTAAAAGAAATGTTTTCCATGTGAGGAGCGACCTGAAAAACTCCAAGTTGCTTCTGATGTGGGAGAACTGGCCATCTGCAAGGACATTATCCAGGGGATGCCTGGGTGTTTTGATTGTTTTACCATCCTTGTGGAAGGCTTCTCTCATGTCCCCACATGGAGAGCTGGAGCTGACAGAAGTTGTTCATCCGTGCTCTCCCCGGATTCAAACCTCGGACCTGTCGGCCTTCAGTCCTGCCAACACAAGGGTTTTAAAAAAAACCTAATCAAATTTGAATTGTTTCAACTGTGAAAAAACCTGTTCTGAAATATGTGTATTACAAATTAAGAGGCGTACAATTTTGGTTTGCTGAAAAAACTGTCACAATCAGTTGCCATATTTTTAGGGGTAAGCTCTGTTGAATTTTGTTTCCAAAATCCCTCATCGTAGATATTAAAAACACACACACACACCCTCTCTACCTCTTTGAAAAGGCAAAATAGTATTCTTTGAGGTAACAGAAGTATTCCTTCTGTGTCTTCTCTCTCTATTTATATATTTTGGATAGATAATATTTAGTGTCATATATATATGGCTGTGCTTTGTATTTTGTCTTCTTGTTTTGGGTTGTAGCATAATATTAGCAAATCCCGACTGCCAACTCTGTGGGCAGCATAAAGAGCGTCGTTATGGCTGATGGCCGCAGAGTATCAATTTTTCGTTGTCTGAGAGGCTGCTCTTCTCCGGCTCCTGCCACGGAGGACAGCCAAAGCAGACTCAAAAGACCCTCAAGCCGTGTCTGTGTCTGCATGTGCTGGGGATTCATGCAGCGGAGCGAACTGGACTGGACCAGTTGGTGGTCTTTGGGGGGACTGCCTGCGCCCCTGCCGAGGAGAGAGCGGTGCCTTCCCTTGTGCGAAGGGGCTCCTCGCCTGGGATGGTCCTGGTGGAGCTGGGGGCCCTTCCCCGGTGAGGCAGTCATGCAGGCATAAATCCAGAAAGTTGCCAAGCGCAGAGCCCTAGTCTTGTGAGCATTAGAAGTGTCCTCTTTGCCAGAAAGGTCGTTCATAACTTGGCTGCACTGCTGATGTACAGTCAGTGATATTGATTGATTAATGTATAAAAAGCACCAAATGCATTTGCTTCTATGAAAGAGAATAAAGTGCAGGCGAGTCTCTCTTTATTTTCACCTCATCCCTTTGTTTGAAGGACGTTCCTCCCCCCCCCCCCCGCTTTTTTTGTTTTGCTGGCTTCGTTTAAGGGGGATACAAAAAGCCAGTTTCTGCCAAGTAATGCGTTCACAAAAGAAACATTGATTCACATCAGTGTCGCTTGAGTTACCCTTGCGAAGAAGTGGTTCTTGCATTAACCCTTCTGTTCATCAAAGATGAACTAAGACACACAATTAGCTCTGGCGCTCTTTTCTCATCTCATCTCGGAGCGGGTTGCGGGAGAGGCATCTAATGGTCTGGGAAGGCCTCAGTGTGGGGCAAATCCCCAGTCTCCCCTTCTGAGCTTCCCTTCCAAGGGGCCTCTCTCTTCAGGGGCCTAACTGGGTTGCAGCGTCCCACTTCTTAGGGGTCAGGGCTAGGCTTCTCTGG